AACTGTATACAGAGAACAGTTGACTTACTCCAGTATGTTAAAGTTAACAGTGAACACAGAACAGTTGACTTACTCCAGTATGTTAAAGTTAACAGTGAACACAGAACAGTTGACTTACTCCAGTATGTTAAAGTTAACAGTGAACACAGAACAGTTGACTTACTCCAGTACGTTAAAGTTAACAGTAGACACAGTAAACACCAAATGGTAGGTAGTATATAAAATAAACATGTACATGAAAATTAGTGGATCAGAAGGTAATATTAATTACAATAAAAACAGATATGTAATTCATTTTCTTTGTTATCTTCCTTGACTAGTAGCTTTTTCTATTCTGTGATGTTACATTTTGTAAGCAGCATGCTTACATCCCTCACTTACCTGTATGAGACTCAGTACCTTCTCTTGTACAACAGTAGGAGGGTCATTTTTTGGTCCGATCAACTTCACCAAGTCCATGATAAAGTCCTTTTGGGTAACAAGCAGGTGAAGCCGTTTCCCACAGTTTTTGACACAAGTCTCTAGGACCTAGGATATAATTCAGTGTTGGTGTTTTTTATGTACAAGTTTACAGGACAATATTTCTGTAATAACTGAGTTGGTGTTTTTTTATCTACAAGTTTACAGGACATTATTTCTGTAATAGCTGAGTTCGTGTTTTTATCTACAAGTTTACAGGATAAAATTTCTGTAATAGCTGAGTTGGTGTTTTTTATCTACAAGTTTACAGGACAATATTTCTGGTCCTGTAAACTTGTAGATAAAAACACCAACTCAGCTATTACAGAAATTTTATCCTGTAAACTTGTAGATAAAAACACCAACTCAGTTATTGCAGAAATATTGTCCTGTAAACTTGTAGATAAAAAACACCAACTCAGTTATTACAGAAATTTTATCCTGTAAACTTGTAGATAAAAACACGAACTCAGCTATTACAGAAATATTGTCCTGTAAACTTGTAGATAAAAAAACACCAACTCAGTTATTATAATATTCCTGTAATAGCTGAGTTGGTGTTTTTTATCTACAAATTTACAGGACAATATTTCTGCAATAACTGAGTTGGTGTTTTTATCTACAAGTTTACAGGGTAATATTTCTGTAATAGCTGAGTTGGTGTTTTTTATCTACAAGTTAACAGGACAATATTTCTGTAATAGCTGAGTTGGTGTTTTTTATCTACAAGTTTACAGGTATACTATATTATCTATTTACTGTTACTTTCAACAGTATTGGTTATACTATTTAGTATATCGATTGTCATTACTTTTTTATTTCATTTATTTTTATCATTTCACTTGTTTTATAAAGATTGTTTTGTACTGTTAGCTTAATACAAGTACTTAGGACTAATTTAAGTCTTCCAGGTTGGCCGAATTTCGAGAGATATTATTTAGATTATAGCTGAATATACTGTTGACGGTCAAGGTAAGCAACTGATTGGACGATGAGTTCTATACGTTAGAAGTAGAAATAGAAGAAAAGTGTACTTAATTAGCTAAACTCGTTACCATAACTTGCTCTGATCTGAAGTTTGTATGAATGATTTTATCTTGAAAACAGAATCCCATATAATTTCCATATGGACCAAAATTCGTATTTTGGGCAAGTGTAGCCACGTAACTCAGTACCTGAAATACCAGTTAAAGATGTTTTCTTTTTATGCCAAGGAGAATTTTGTCATTCAGTAGTAAACATTTATTGGATACAAAGAAACATTAGGCTCTTTGAGAAAAAAAATACTTTAGAATAAAATGATATATTGACACCCTAAAACGAACATAGAATAAAACCGTCACTTTAAAGAAATAGATACTTCACATTAACTAATTACAATGTTAAAAAGACACACAAAAATAAATAAAGTTGATAACATAAACTTCCAATACAAAACATGATGCTATTTAGAACATTTCTAAACACCTACACTCCAGTACCTGAACAAATTACATGTGATGGATGGGTCATCAAATCAACATACATGAGAAGTAGACCATAACCAGGAAGTAGTAAACACTGTATTAGTCAGTGAAGTACTTACCGTTAATGTGTACATGACCACAGTGTAATTCTTGCCAGCATTCTGTTGCAGTCTTTTTCTAACGGCTTTGACTGCATCTTTAGGCCTACAAGCAATACATGGAACGCCTTTTATTATTAGACTTCAGCTCAAGTCTCTAAACAATATAGACAACTATGACAAGACACACTAATTATATGTAGTTCTCAACTTTAGTAATGAAATACAAACAAATGTATTGTTGGTGTAATGAAATACAAACAAACTTATTGTTGGTGTAATGAAATACAAACAAATTTATTGTTGGTGTAATGAAATACAAACAAATTTATTGTTGGTGTAATGAAATACAAACAAATTTATTGTTGGTGTAATGAAATAAAACAAACTTATTGTTCAGTGGAACTTTAAGCAGAGTAGACATTGTAAGATTGGAAACTTTAATGAACTGCCTACTAAAAGAAAAACAGAGTTCTGGGTTCTATACTGTGGCCTTCTTCAGCCAAATTAGTATTGAATGAAAGGCCTCACCAGCAGTAGCATGCAGCACAAAAGGTGTGCATCCAAGCTGCTATTTTATACTTCTTACTGGAAATTCATGTGTGAGGGGTAAAGAAAGATTTGTTAAAATTGTTATCAGTGATAAGTGAGCCACATAAATTGCCAGTTTGTAGAAGTAAACTTGTCTGATCAAATGGTCTTTCTCTAACTTGTTCAGTATTAGTGGCTAAAACATGAACGTGACTTAAACGTGATACGAGTGAACATAGCATCTTCCGATCATAATCGACAGTATTAAGACACAAGCAACTCACCCCTCATCCGTTTCATTGATGAGATCGCATATCTCCATGTTTAAAGCCCAACTCTCTGATGCTAGGGCAGCATCGGTGGCTTGCTCTAAAACAGAGAAAATATGTTGGCATCCACGAGAACATAAAAACAACAACAACAAAACTGAGTATATTTTGTTCATAAGATATACATAACATTGAACTTGAATGCATTTTTTTATAAATGTCATTACAAACATATCTTTCATGAAAGGATTAGACATTTTTGGTTTTTGTTGATGTTCAAATTGTTAGTATTCATCTAAATGGTAGTTTGTCTCAAACAGGAATCCCAGTGGAAAGATGACCATGGAAAATAGGAATAAAAACAAACTACGCATGGTCATTTAATCCACAAAAAGTCAAACAACCAAACTATAAAAAAAACTATGAGTTATCCGCACAACTCGTTTCGTGAGCTAAGACGAACTAATCAGTTGATTGTATAACTAGAGCTGAACGTGAGATATACATACGTACAGAGTCTTGTCATGCACTAATTCTACTTGTATGTGTAATATCAAGTACATTAGAAGAAAGGAGGCTTCTTTGGTAAGAAGTCACTTCAAAGAAACAATACTGGTCCTCCAACTACAAAAATAAAGTCACTGAATGATAAAATATACAGTTAGCTCATGTATAATAGAACAGCCAGAAATTTAGGTTTCTCAAATTTGCAAGAATGCCAACTAAAAAACAAATCTATCAATCAAACATTTAAAGTAAATTATTACTTATTGTTATCATTTAAAATAAAAGGGTTTAAAAAAGATAACCAAATGGTAAGAGAACCAACTATGGGTGGTTTATTGTTAACTACTAATGAAAATGTTGTTTTATGAGTTAAAGCTACAGAACATTTGAAGAACTGAGATCTCTACTGAGCCAGATTTGATGTTTTGCTGCGTGTTTAGGAACAAAATAAATGAAATTTTATTTTCTAATTTCAGACAACCAATTTTCAGACCACCAATTTTTAGATAATAATGAGACAAGATTTATCATTACTGAACTTTGGGAAATGTTTAACAATAATCTGTTTAGAATTCCGGATAGGCACATTCCTAAATAAAAAGGAAAAGGATAAGACATAGAGGATCAAACATAACTGGATTAATCAGGACATAAAGGAGAAAATCGGGTATGAAAGACACAATTTTATTAAGTTTAAACTGACAGATGGGTTGAAAGATTTACATAACTGTAAGAAGATAGGGATTTGGTGAAAAAGAAATTAGAATATCCAAGAGGAATTATGAGCAATACCTTGATAATGTTAAAACTAACACTATGGATTTTAGGGGAGCTAGCCTTGAAAGGATGCTTATGACAAGGTTTCTGTTTAACCATACGAGATAAATAAGCTTTTAAACTTTCTCCTCTATTTCTACAAGAGACGATAAGAGCAATATCCCTGAATCCTGAGCATTGTTTGGGAGATATAAGAATTGATCTGAATCATGTAGATATTAATCCCTCGGTGATAAGCTAAAAGACTGAAAATTAAAAGTAGATAGATCTTATAGGGCAGTTTGTCTTCTGTGGGAGGAAAAACTTGTGTCCGATAAAAACAAAATAATTTAGTGAAATATATCCAAAATGAAAGCTAACATGGACTAAACAAAGGGAAATCTTGTCTTACCAATCTGTTTTTTTTTTTTGAGTATCTTACTTATCTGGATGATTGCAAGGGTGAGGAATTGGTATACTTCAATTTTCGAATGAAGACATCGCACAAGAAGTTAGTTAAAAAAATCACATCTGTACAGGTTGGGGAAAGACTAGTTAATTGGATTGTGGGGTGTTTGGATGGAAGAAAGGAAAAGGTTGTTATTATTAATGGAGTTCAGCAGTTAAACTGGACCCTCATTACTGGAGTGCCACAGTGGTCACTTATTTTATGGCCTCTGCTTTTCCTCATTTACATTAATGATACTAATAGGAGAATAACAGTAAGTTAGTAAATTTTGCTCATAACATTGAACTCTTGAGTGTTTCTAGTTGTATTGAGGATTTTGAGGTATTATAGAATTATCTGAATAAATTGGTAAGTTGGAAAAATATTTTTTAAATGACTTTGAATTATAGAAAGTACAAGGCAATGAATCACATTTAATATAATTAATAGTGTGATCGAGGAAGAGGATCTTGAGGATAAAATCACTCCAATCACTGAAACGTGCTCTGTTACTAATTGTAAAGCCACCAGAATTTTACATCCGAGGAAATAATTACCTCTATACAAACCAATAGTTAAGCATAACTTGAAATACTATGTGCAGTTCTGGTCTCCTTTTATAATAGATATTGGCTCATTGGAAAGGGTTCATAGGATGTCTAGCAAGATGATTCTGAATTAGAAAGGTTTACCTTAATAAAAGTAGGTTACTGACTTTTATTTTCTCTTAAGAAAGTCAGGAGGTGATTTTATTGAAGTTTACAAGATTATCTATAGGGTCTAATTGATAAAGGTCCTTGATGTTTTGTGATATAATTTAACGATAATATTATGACACAATATTAAGGTTTGGAAATGGCAGGCTACATTCCAGTTTATACAATTTTTAATAATAATAGCGTGGTTGACTTATGGAATGAGTTGCCATCTACAGTATGATTGAAGGACTTTAATCACATGACTAGGTCGGAAGGAACACATGAAAATAATTCCAAACACTGATAATGTGACTTACTAAAAAAAAAACTTTAAAGCTTGACAAATACACATCTACTGTCCATACACGAAGCAAAAATTTCCTCAGTGGTTAGCAAGTTTTTTTAAACTTAAAACTAAAGATCTATTACTAGCATTATTTAGAGAATATCTGATTATCAGTATCACAGGAATATGGCTGTGGTATTGAACTTTGACACTATCAGTATCAAGTCCCCAAGACTAGTTTCTTTCACGAATTCCAGCATTACAATCTAACAGTTAATTAATTTAATGACTCGGATACTGTTAGACCTTACTCAGATTGTTCCAAACTGAACAAAGGTAAAAAAAAAGTAACGCCTCAGACTTTAACTGTTAGGTTATAAGTAAGATTTATACTAAATGTCTAAATCATCAGTAAATGCCTATTAGTATTATCGAGAATACTGTTACAGTACTGTTAGTATTACTATTGGTATTAGCTATTTATATATGACAATTTAATTTTCAGTTACACTCCAGTTTAAAAACGTTACTATTATATTAATACCAACCAATTTTCTGTCCCACAGGTGTGGCAAATGGATTTCCTCCAAACTGGGCTAAAATAGCTGCCATGCTGAATGTTTATACTTATAGTCAGTCGTACTCGTAGACAAATTTTGTAAGACGAGTTAACCTTACGCAAATATATTTTTTCTGCTTATTTTATGAGACTTAGATTCAAAAACTTCCTGCGTAAACGTCAAGTTATTTAATTAAAGGAAGTAAACAATCTATTCTCAACACCAGTTGTAGTCTGGCAACATCTTCCAATCAGTCATGACGTCGAAACGATTGACGTTTGCTGTCATCTAGTGGCTGAAAAACATTTTAGACACTTCTGTCGGCTATAGATTAATTTTTCCAAGAGAAACAACATAACTAAAGCGCCTAAATGTTACAATCACCTTATATATATAAATATTTATAACCTACAATTGCACATAGAAAAACTAATTTTTCAAACTACAATAGGACTATAGATTTACTAATATGATAAAGAGTTTGTATCTATTTGTCAAATCTTTAAGCATTTTGTAAAATATCATCTACTTCTTTCGTTTTTACTATCATTAAAACAAACATATGTTGTTGCTTTTTGTTTTTACTTCTTGGCTTATTCCTTTTAGAAAACTTTGATCTTTGAGAGAAGAAAAACTTACATCCCATGTCTCATGTAATTATTAGAAAATTTATATTTATTTTTGTTCATCTAGTTCTTAATAACACGAATCGAAATCCGCATTTCAACAGAACATGTCGGTTAATTTACCTATTACCCACTTGGGAAATTTATTCTATGTATATAGGTATATACACTGAGTGGTCGCAAGTAAATAGACACCTAATTTTTCGTCATTTAACTGATTTATGTTAACTAATTTGTTTTTACAGA